CCTGATAACGGGTTAATGTGCCTGCATAAACTATGTTATCTTTATTTACAGAAACTCCTATATTCAAAAATTTAAACTTGAAATCATGTACCGTGCGGTTGACAAAAAGATATATTTCACCTTTATATGATTACAATTGGTCCTTCCATGATTTCCAATACGCTTTTTTACTAGTTTTAAGTATATTTCTTTTTCATATTATAGAGTCCCCTGGCTTTATTGTAAAAATAATCATAATTTTTATAATTGCAACCGGACTTTCTTTTCCTACCTTAAGAACATTTTTTTTACCATTTCTTCCTATAGCCTGTTGGTTAGTACTATTTTACTCGTGTAGATTCATACCTGGTTCAAACAGACCTCACATATATGTATCAGTATTGCCGGCACTGGAGAATATTTTATATGGGGACAATTTATCAGCTATTATAGCAAAGCATACAAATGTTATTAAAGATGTACTGGCATGGTTACCATATGGTGTACTTCACTTTATGCTACCGTTTTTTACAAGTTTGAGTCTTTGGTGGTTTGGTCCTCCTGGAATATTGGCGGTATTTTCTAGAGCATTCGGTTATATGAATCTTGCCGGTGTATTAACCCAATTAGCGTTCCCTTGCTCGCCTCCATGTGAGTACTTTGTGTAAATTCTTCCATTTTTCATCTTTTGAATTGTTATTAATTTCGATTAGCAATTAATTCATAATAAGGGTATGAATATGTCTACGGGATGAACACTCCCGCATCTTACTCAATGCCAGGCGATCCGGGTGGTCTAGTTCGTATCGATGAATTATTTAATTCAAGTACTTATTCATCAACATTTGGGGGTTCTCCTATGGTATTTGGGGCATTTCCTTCTTTACATTCTGCTTGTGCTATAATCCAAGCTCTTTTTATTTCTTATGTATTGCCAAAAACACGACCAATTTGTTTCACTTATGTACTTTGGATTTGGTGGGCTTGTATGTATCTAACACATCATTATATGGTTGATTTGGTGGGTGGTGGTGTTTATGCGGTGGTAACATTTTGGTTCTCTTGGGATTACCTGCCAAAAATTGATCGCGAATGTTTTAATAGATGGGATTATATAAATAAGAATGATTATAATGTCATCGATGGCAATCCTCTGACGATGACTTCTTACGCCAATAATAGACATTCTACAAATAATGATAGAGACGTTCATCCTAATGATAGTTATGAAATTGAAATTGCTAGTAGCACTTTGTGTGATGAAAATGACTTATATTTAGCGGAAAATGGTGACCAAAAAAAAGTATTAACATAGAAATTTATAAATTATAATTATTATTGTAATATACATGTCAATATTTATCTATTTATTATCTGTATATATACAGTGTGTTGCAAAAAAATGGTAAAAAAAATTTTTTATATTATAAATTTTGTAATTATAAATAAATATTTTACTTATTGAAATTTTAATTAAATTTTATTTACTTTTTTTATTTATTTTTTTAAATTATTAAATTATTATTCATAATTAGATTGCAATTATAACATTTATTATTATTTGATCAAAATACTATAATACAACAATAAAATTATTATACTATTGCTAACATTTTTACTTGCAGAATATCTATCAATAAGTTTAAAGATTTATTAAATAATTCTTGATCCTTAATATCAAAATTACTGTGTTGTTTATATAACCTATTTATTTATTAACTATTTTATTACAAAAGAAGGATTTATTAAACTATTACTATATAAATTAACTATTTAAAACTTTTCAACTCTTTAAATATGACTATAGAAATAAAAAAGTTATTATTTTAAAAAAAACAATTATTATCAAGTTTAAAAAATTATAAAAACTTTTTCTACATATAATTCCTTTTATGAAAATTGCCTTTTTAGGAAATTTTTTTTCTTCAAAAAACTTTAACTAGTGGATTATATTATTTGAGAGGGGAATATAATTCTAAAAATTGTTATTGTATAATAGAGATATTAACAATAGCTCTTAGAATGTAACAATAATTTACTCAAGAAGATTTAATATCTGCAAAGATATTGATCAAATAACTTGACTGTTAGAAAATAAATAAAAACTTTTTTTTATGTTTACAGTAGGTATTATAAATATTCGGAATTTTGATCTAGCACATTTAAAGTTATGTTACATGTCATTTTATAAAACAACAACCTATATAACATAAATTTTAATTAAAGTAAGAATA